TTTAATGAAAAGAAGGATTAGGGTGATAGCAATGTTCCAATATCTCAGGGCTTGCCACAAAGAAGAAGGAGTCAAACTATTCTCAAAAGCATCTGAGGGTAGAACAAGAAGCAATGGGTGGAAACTAATCAAGGAGAGAAGCAACTTAGAACTGAGGAGAAATTTCCTGACAGTTAGAACAATTAATCAGTGGAACAACTTGCCTCCAGAAGTTGTAAATGCTCCAACGCTAGAAGTTTTTAAGATGTTGCATAATCATTTGTCTGAAGTGGTGCAGGGCTTCCTACCTAAGCAGGGACTGGACTAGAAGATCTCCAAGGTCCCTTCTGATTCTGTTATTCTGTTCTATCCTTCAAGAACATACAGGTAGTCCTCCTCTTAGCAACTATTCATTTAGCTACTGTTGGAAATGACAATGGCACTGAAAAAAAGAGACTTGTGAGACTACTCGCATTTATGACTGTTTCAGCATCCCTACAGTCACCTGATTAAATTTGGGGTGCTTGGCAAGTGACACATATTTAGAAGAGTTGCAGCATCCTGGGAGTGTGGGATCAACTTTGTTGATCTTCCCAGTAGTTTCTAACAAGCAAAGTCACATGGCAAGTGGCTTTAAAAGGTTGTAAAATCAGGTGCGAGCCACTGAACAACCATCTTGCTTAGCCATGAAAATGACGATCCCCATTGTTGTAAGCCGAGGACTAGGAGAGGGATCTTGGAGTTTTAGTGGCGACCATATAAACATGAGCCAACAGTGTGTGACAGCAGTAAAATAAAAAGCCAATGCAATCCTAGGTTGCATTAACAGATGGATAGAATCAAGGTCACCTGAAGTAATAGCACCACTTTATAAAGCCTTAGTAAGACCCCGCTTGGAATAGTGCATCCAGTTTTGGTTATCCAATACAAAAAAAAAAAAGATGTTGACAAAAGAGTTCAGAGAAGAGCAGCAAAGGTGATTAGGAGGTATAAGCATTGCAGGAACTGAGTATTTCTAGCCTAGTGAAAAGAAGGACCAGGGGTGACATGATAGCAGTCTTCCAATACTTCAAGGGCTGCCACAAAGAAGAAGGAGCCAACTTATTTATCGAAGCACCAGCAGGCAAGACAAGAAACAAAGGATGGAAACTCATCAAGGAGAGAAGCAACCTAGAACTAAGGAGAAACTTCTTAACAGTGAGAACAATTAACCAGTGGAACAGCTTGCCTTCAGAAGTTGTGGGTGCTTCATCACTGGAGGTCTTTAAGAAGAGACTGGACAATTACTTGTCTGAAATAGTCTCCTGCTTGAACTAGATGACATCCAAGATCCTTTCTAATTCTTTTACTAACTCTATGTTTTATGGAGCACGTTACATGTCCCATGGTGTAATAAAAATAATGGATTTCAGCTCTTCTGTGCATCTTCCCCTCTTCACAAATTTTGTTTTTCATTGGGAATGCTATGTCTCCATTGCACTGATTTTATTTTTCTGCATTTAAAAAAAACTGTCTTTTTTTTTTTAGCTTCCACCATCAAGCTTCGACTTCCATCTCTTACCAGTCCCAAAAGAGGTATCCGACTCAAAGCTTCTTGCTTTTCATTTGACAGCTGATCATTAGTACAGCATTAATGCACTCCTTATCTGCAGCGGCTTCGTTTCTCTGACAGCTAATAGTTTCCAAACTTAATTCTTGCTTGCCCTGCAGACACGTCGCCTGGCTTATGTAGTCTTTCCAAGCTGACCTGGCAAACCACCGTCAGCTCCTTCCAAAACTTTCATTTTTCTCCCATGGAAATTTAGACGGATCTCTTTTTACAGCTTGGCTCAGATCTTTTATTAATGAAGGACTATGCTTGTTTTCTCTTTTTCAGGAGCCCCAGCTTTTTCACTGTGAGAAATTCTAATCTGCCCTTCCTGCTTTAGTTCAGCTCCTCGAAGTTCTTGTTCCCTTTCTTGCAAAGATTGCATTGAAGGTGTTTGCCTTTCATATTAATTCGGCTGGTATCAAATGAGATTTCCTTTAGATTGTCCTCCCCTAGAATAACAGCATATTGTGTTTTTTTAAGTATTTTTATTATATAGTTTTCTTTATTTTACATCACAGTTTCAGCTTTGCAACTGCGATATACTGGTTATATCCACAGTTTTTTACATTATACATACTATTATGTCTCCTAGTATATAGTATCATGTTCATAACTATTATTTTCATAATTCTAACAAAAATCTCTATATAATTATTTCTAGATATTTTATTCCACATTTTACATTTTTATAACATCTTACCATAATATTATTTACAACAAATATTCTTCTGTCTATCATTATATTTATACTTATTTCTAATTTCTAATTGGTTAATCGTCTTTCATTGTTGATTTTCTAATCTTTGCATCTGCTATCTAACCAATTATACCATGCATCCCAAATTAAATAATATTCTGTTTCTCCTTTGTCTTTAATTTCCATTGTCAACCTATCCATCTCAGCGCAATTTAATATTTTCTTTATTACCACTTCCTCTATTTTCTTTATCACTATTTCCATTTTTCCAATTTTGAGCATATACAATTATAGTTGCTGCTATTACATGTAGCATTAAGTATTGAGTTTAACAACATATTTAAACACAATAACAGCATATTGTGAAGCAATTTATTATTTCTCTATACATACATACATACATACATACATACATACATACATACATACATACATACATACATACATACAATGAAAGGGCCCTTTCCTGGCAGCTAGACAGGAAACAAATAATACATAAATATATTCATCTGTCTTTAGTGTAGTACTTATGGCTAGAATCTGATTCTCTTTGATATCATTATAATGGATCTATATAATACAACTTTAGACAAACACTAGCCTTTCTTTTGTTTTTAGAAAATGTTTGCAACTCGGAGACATATAGGAAATGAATCCCATTTAAAGTCCAAGGATATCTTTTATATCAGTAGAGATAGTCCTCTACTTACAACCATTCATTTAGTGACCACTCAAAAAATGACACTGAAAAAGTGACTTATGACCATTTTTCACATTTATAACCGCTGCAGTAGCCCAATGGTCACATAATCAAAATCCAGATCCGTATTTATGATGATTGCCATGTCCCAGGGTCACGTGATCATCTTTTGCAACCTTCTGATAAGTAAAATCGATGTTGCTGAAGGGCTGATTCATTTAACAGCAGGTTACTAACTTAACAACTGCAGTGGTTCACTTAACAACTGCGGCAAGAAAGGTTGTAAAATGGGGCAAAACTCACTTAACAAAACTCACTGTCTCACTTAGCAACTAAAACTTTGGACTCAGCTGTGGTCATGTCAAGGACTACCTATAATTCCACTTTATACTTCTTGTAAGGATGCAAAAGTTTTTGGATCAGCTTTTCCTTGGATTTACTGATTTTAAATCTGCAATAACCTAAAATGATATGGTTAGAGCTTTCCTTGCAAGAAAGAGAAAATGATTCCCCAAAGATATCAGGTAGCACACCTCTAACATTTTGTAGGAGAAACAAACTTTCAGTCTATGCTCAGAAGTAGGAAAACACTAGGATCTTCAACCTTGGTAAAAGCAGGGACATCAGCCCTCCAACAAGAAGCTGGAGCAGTTTGAAATGCTGCTAGATCTTGAATGTCTATGGAGATTCTCAGTCAACCAGGTCATGGTTGTCCCAAAGGTGATTTTTTTTCCCCCAGAGGCAACTGGACTTTCTGGTTTTTCTTTGAAGACATTTTGTTTCTCATCCAAGAAGCTTCTTGGATGAGAAGCAAAACATCTTCAAAGAAAAAAACCCAGAAAGTCCAGTTGCCTCTTGAAAAAAGCACCTTTGGGATAGATCTAGAACGTTTTGCCTCCACTGGTTGTTCTGTTGAAGGACATTTTTAGAAGATTCGTCTTGGTGATCAACCATATCGCCCTATCCCATGCGTGCCAGATGTCTTTCCATTTGAATCAAGGCCAGGATAAAACAACCAGGGTTGTCTTCTCTGGTATCTTCAACATCTCGCCGTCTTAACCAAATAACCATGGAGCTGGCTTTCGGATGTACATGCTACGAATGTGCTAACAGTGCCCTAAGCATTTGAGTCCTCCTTTTATGAAAGGTTTCTCTCTTCTTTCCGATATAAATATGGAAAGTGTGTATTAACTGTGTGAGGCTTCTAGGTGGCAGCATCTCCATGCTTTCTTCTGGAGCTTCCAAGGAAGAGTTGTCACCTTGTAGGGGACCGTCATTCTCCAGCTGTTTGTTCTGCCTTCTGACAAATGTATGATCTGCTTTGTTTTTAGAGGCCAAGGCTACACTTCAGCCCCAGCTTCCCATGGCCCAGCTCCCTATGGCCCAGCTCCCCATGGGCCAGCTCCCTATGGCCCAGCTCCCCATGGCCCAGCTCCTCATGGACCGGCTCCCCATGGACCGGCTCCCCATGGACCAGCTCCCTATGGCCCAGCTCCCCATGGACCAGCTCCTCATGGACCGGCTCCCCATGGACCAGCTCCCCATGGACCAGCTCCTTATGCATGCTACAGTGAAGCCCCAGCGCCTGCTCCGAAACCAAGAGTTGTGACCACTGCAAGCATAAAGCCCTCGGTCTATCAGCCAGGTAAGGGGATTTTGAAGGTATCCTTGACTCCATTCAGTAATGTTCATTAACAACAACAAAAACTTTAGGGAGAAGAAAGCACAGGTAGTACTTGCTTAACAGTGACTTCTGAACAGTCTTCGAATTTACAACCATTGCAGCATCTCCCTGTCATGCAATCATTGGCAACCATTGCTCAGTTATGATGCTCGGAGCATCTGCCGCCTTCCCAGCCAGCTTCTGACAAGCAAAGTCAATTGGAAAGCCATCAGGAAGTCGCAAGTCAGCATCATGTGATCTCTCGCTAAGTAACAAGACTCACTTAAGAACCATGACAAATGGGCAGAGGTGGGCTTCAAAAATTGCAGCAATGGGTTCTCTGCCTGGTTGCTGGGTGGGCGTGGCCCTGGTGGGTGTGGCCTAGTCAGCTTCCTGCACCACGGGGGCAGGGCAGCATTTTTCACCCTCCCCAGGCTTCGGAGGCTTTCAGTGAGCCTCCAGGAGAGTGGAAACTGCTTCTCCCAGGGTTCTCTGGAGGCCCCTTTCCCCCTCCCCAAGCCTCTGCACAGGCCCTGCACTTACCTGACATGATGAACAGGCCATGTGGAGACTCCTGGGAGGGATAGGGTGGGCAGGGCCAGCCAGGAATGAGATTTGGGGGTTTCATTGAACCACGAGAATGTTTGCTAGAGGATCGCCCGAACCCCAGCAGCCCACCCCTGCAAATGGGTCATAAAATTGGGTGCGGTCATATGGTGACTCACTTAACAACTGGGCTACTTAGCAATGAATTTTCCAGTACTTATTGTAGTTGTAAATCCGGGTCTATCTGTAGTTAATTTTTCCCCCTCTGGTTGAATGGATGGTGGATCTTTTCATTGTTTTTTGAATAAACCACAGAAAGGGTATTTTTAGATATACTTTTATGCATATGATAAAGTTAACGTTTCCTTGGAGTTAAGATCCACTTCTGATAACTTTGTGAACGTGCTTGTAGTTTCCATGGGAACAATGCAGGAATTTTTGCCATTGCCTTCATCTAGAAAATCTTTTTAACATCCCGGTCAGGCACACATATCTCATTTTTTCTGGTGGTAGCATGCTAGCTTTTTCTTCAGTCTGCCAAAATCAACCTCCACCTGATTTATCACTGAAATTCAGCTGGGGTACCAAGCAGAAAAAGATTCTGGAATTGGGTGCAACCTTGTTCTGGAACAGGGGTGTCAAACTCGATTTCATTGAGGGATGCATCAAGGTTGTGTTTGACCTTGGGAAGCTGGGGTGGGCGTGGCTGGGGTGGGCATAGCTAGCTCTACATCAGTGGTTTCCAAACTTAGCAACTTTAAGACTTGTGGACTTCAACTCCCAGAATTCTCCAGCCAGCTCTGCTGGCTGGAGAATTCTGGGAGTTGAAGTCCACAAGT